TTTTTTTTCAACCTCCCCCCCCCCCCCCCCCCCCAAAAAACATTTGCTGTTTTTTCTACTTTGGCTGTTGCTATGCACTCACTCTCTCAAATGTGTTGTTGGAAAGTCCGGTTCATTCTAGTGAATTGTTTTGTTCCAATGGTTCATGTGAGTGAACACATTAAAAAAGTTTTAATGATTCAAATCTCTACACTGCATTTTAAGATCAGCTGTTTTACATCTAGTTAAGTGCTGCTCATCCCTTTTTTTTCTGTTATATTAGGGTCTGTTCTAGTTTAAGGTGTATTTAGTGTAGAGATTGGCGATCTTCCTAAAATATCATATCACAATCTTATCCACGATCTGAATCCTATGGACTTTATCTATTTGCACAATTTAAAGGGTTAGTTCACCCAAAAAAGAAAATTCTGTCATTAATTACTCACCCTCATGTCATTCCAAACCCATAAGACCTTCGTTCATCTTTGGAACACAAATTTAGATATTTATGATTAAATGTGACTCAGACCCTGCATAGATGGCAATAAAACTGAAATATTCCCAAGTCATAAAGAGTACATAAAGAGTTCCCATGGATTATTTTACCGATCTCCTTGCTACGTTTCTGGACTTGGGAACATTTAAGTTGTATTGCTGTCTATGCAGGGTCTGAGAGCTCTCACATTTCATCAAAAATATCTTAATTTGTGTTCCGAAGATGAACGAAGGTCTTACGGCTTTGAAACGACTTGAGGGTGAGTAATTAATGATGAACATTTTTTGGATGAACTAACCCTTTAAAACTCAGCATTGCATTAAACAATTGTCAATGGTCATTAAAAACTTAGTTAAACTTTATAACACTGCATCATTGTGTGATTTTAAAGGGGTCATATGATGCGATTAAAATTTTTCCTTTCTCTTTGGAGTGTTACAAGCTCTTGGTGCATAAAGAAGATCTGTAAAGTTGCAAAGACTAAAGTCTCAAAACCAAAGAGATATTCTTTATAAAAGTTCAGAGTCAGCCACACCTACCTAAAATAGCTCGTTCTAACACGCCCCCCCACACATCTACGTCACGATGTGGGAAGATTTGCATAACGCCGGCCAAATGTTCACGCAAAGAAAGAAGGCATAACTTTTATTCTCACTGTAGTATTGTTGTTGCCGCCGCCGCCATGTCGTGAAGGCGCTGTTTCTCGTTGTGAAAGCGAAACTACTTTGTTTGGTTTTCCAAAAGAGGACGATTTGCGCTAGAGTGCCGGCTGTTCTGACTCGGACTGTAAGTATGTTTTTTTAATATTTAAAGAATTTGCCACTGACGATTCAAACGCAAGTTTTGAGCAGTGTAGAGTAGCACTTGTTGTTTGTCATTTCTCCGATCACAAATGCAGACATGGTGCAACGCTTAAGACATTATAAGTCATTATAATCCGTAATTATGTCCCCACTGGATGCAAAAAATGTCTCGTTTATAATGGGTTTTAATGTTTTTCTCGTCACTCCGGCTGGACAGGGCATCACAATATATGGTAAGGGGCGTAACATTTCCGTCACACGCTTGAGGTATTCGGCCAATCACAATGCACTGGATAGCATTTTTTGTGTATATTTGACAGTTTATGCGCGTGCCTGAAACCCTCAGTATACTTACTTGTCTATGTTTAGCTCCGTGTGGGAACACACAGAACGCACCTGAGGAACAGTCTCTTTTGCAGTTAATACACTTTTTATAGCTCTTTAAAATAAAGCATGTCCCGCAGTAGACTGCATTTCACGACAGCCACGTTACATGATTTGACCAATTTGGACATTGTTAGGATTTTAAGGACAGGCGAAAGCGCACTGCTTTAAATAAAATCGAAACTCAAACTAAAATTTTATTTGTCGCAGTACTACTGCTAGCTCACGTTGAACTGTTTTTCAGATACGTCACCACACATGAAAGACACAAGATATAATTTGGCCAGTCACAGTCATCTAGTAGGCAGTCATTGCTATAGTTTTAAAATTTTTTACAAAGACATAAAAGATCACGATCTCTACGATGCACTTAAAGTAGATTGTCGATGTCTTCAAGATCGATCATGATATGAAATCGTCAGATCGCCCACCCTTAATTTAATGTAAATTTATCTGTTTAAGTTTTAATTCTGTCACTTCATTATTTAAAACCCTCTTAGTATTACTGGTATATTTAAGGGATATTTTTACTTTGTCACAGGTTAAATGTACAGATTATATCATTGGTTACATTTAGAAAACTATTTTAAGTAGCTTAAATGTAGCCAAATAGGCCCTCAGGTTGTTTTTGTCCCTTTTGTAACCGAGATCCTATTTTGGTCCCATATGGTGCCATGTGCGTATTTATATTTTGCTAAGTTGTACAGAATGTGAGTACTCTAAACACCAATGTTTTGTTACTGCTGTATCAATTGTAGTTTCTTTGACCACAGCTCTGATATGTGAAGCTTTTTTCGCTACAGAGTAGGTATGTGAGACTTTATATTTTGCAGAGTAAGAGTATTTTACAAAGTGTTGCAACTGTGATACACCCTCTGTTCAGTAACTCTCTTTGTTAAAAGTAAATGGAAGTTATACTTTGGACTTAACCTAAATAAAACGATGTTTAACAAGCTTCTAGCTGTTGTGATCTGAGTTTGAATATGTAGACCAGTTTTTTTTTTCCTTTCAATATGAGAAACGTTTGCATTTTGAGCCTCAACAAACTGATTTCCTCAGATCAGAAGAGCAGAACAGCTTTGTTTCAGATGATAGTCTGTCATTTACATGATTGTTCGGATCATCCAGGAAGTGCCGTCTTATTCTCCTACATACGTGTTTTCTGTGAGCATGCAGTTTTGTGACATGCAGTTTGCATGCTATCTATTCTGTCTTGTTCTTTTTCCCTTCCAGTATGTGTTTACCTGTGTGTGTGGGTCTGATGTGTGTGTCCTGTAATGTTTGGTGTGTTTCTGTAGCGTTTGACAAAGGCACTGGATGGATAGCATCGACGCTGAAGCCCTCTACCTGACCACAGCGCAGCACGGGCAACCTCAATGCGAGCTTTCCCTTCCTGCTGTGGAAGTACCTGCCCTTGGCGGGTAAGAACACATACACTTCATGTCTTTTCACCCCAGGGGTATGAGGATACCCTCCATCTGCAGGTTTTCCCTCAGTGAGAAACAAATCTTTCAAGCAGCTTCTTTTTGAAGCTGGAATGAGAAGAAAAACATTGCTTTTTATTTTTCATTGCTCCTTTTTCTAAATAGTACCCATGCCTGCAGTGTGCAGCCCACCAGATGTCATGGCCTGTTTGAATGTGTCAGACCATTGAAAAAGTAATAAAATCATTACATTCTGATTAATCGCTGAAACATTAGTTCTCTCTTTTGGAAGGGTGTTCTTAAAAATATTGCTGTATATATGATTTATATGCATTACTTTCGGACTGAATCAGCATATTGGATACATTTATTTAGCAATTACTGAATGTGTTGATAGAAGCAAATAAATTCTTTAAAAATCCTACAATGTGATTTTCTGGATTTTTTTTTCTCATTTTGTCTCTCATAGTTGAGGTATACCTATGATGAAAATTACAGGCCTCTCTCATCTTTTTAAGTGGGAGAACTTGCACAATTGGTGGCTGACTAAATACTTTTTTTCCCCACTGTATGTTGTTACATATGGTGTTTTTGTGCTAAACAAAGCCAAATAGTGGACCTCAGCCTGTCTGTGGCTTGTTTTGTTTGTCGCCTTTGACTGCGAGCTTATAACACGACCCTTGTCGAATGACCCTAGGCAGCTTTTTCCTCCCTCCCTTCCATCAGCCCTCCATGCTGGAATAGTGTACAGTTCATGGCCCGCTGTTGGAACCCGATTGTGTCCTGGCGGTGCTTCAGCTCAGGGATTAGCAGAGAGCTGCCCGTCCCCATTCATTCCTGCCACTCACTCACGCTTATCAGCATCGATCTGACATGTTATTTATCTGACACTGCACTCAGTTCTGCTTTGCTAGGAGAAAAACTCACAAAAAAGTCCCCCTCCATCAGCACTTTCCTTTGTGGGAGCAGGGGTGCAGCTTTTAGTGGCCTGTTCGGCCCATCCTAATTCTCAGTCCCAGCCCAGTGACCAGAGCTACGGCCTGTGTTTGTCATCTAGCACAGTGCCGAGCCTCATCGTTGTCTCTCTTTGCTCCATGTCGATTTGAGTTTTGTGGGGTCTGATCAGCCTCAATGAGGTGTACGCTTCCCTTTCTTACCCAGCTGTTCCCATGTCACTTATGACTGAACCTTGAGAGACGTACTTGACGGATATTCGCTGTGGCTGTTTTAGTGTTTAAGTGTGAGAAAGTCTGTTTTTGTCGATTCCATCAGCGTTCATTTGAGACTTACTGACTAGTGAAGTGCTGAAGAAAATGGCTTCCTTTAAACTGGATTTTCTGCCAGAGATGATGGTGGACCATTGCAGTTTGAGTTCCAACTCGGTGTGAGTACAGACTTGACTTTAGCCTGGTGTAACTTGATTTGGATTACACACTAATACCTTAAGTTCTCGTTTGATTGATGGTCACTGTGTTAGGGTGGAATGTTCTGAATTTTTATGTTTAATATTTCTTTATTAATCAGTGTGGTTTGTAAAATCTTATGAGTGGTTAACTGGTTTCTTTACACCAGATTCAGAGCTGAGAGTACAGTAAATGTAAAATGTAGCGCTGTGTAATTAATCGCATGCGATTGTAATGCGCATCTCGTCAGTAAAGCCGGTTTCGTGATTGGTAGTAAATCTGCATCACCTGCTTTCAGATGGAGCGGCATTTACTACACAGAGCCATAGTTCACTGACAATTAGGCAATGTCGCGTTCATAATCGCAGATGAATCGCATTCGATTATGAACGCGATATTGCCTAGCGTGTTAGTGAACTATGGCTCTGTGTATTAAATGCGCTCCATATGAAAGCAGGTGGAGATTTACTACCAATCACGTAACCGGCTTTACTGACGAGATGCGCATGACAATTGTATGCGATTAATTGCACAGCCCTAGTCAAATGTTTTGGGTGAATGTAAGTTTGATTCAGAGTAGTGGTCGACCGATATATCGCCTTGGCCGATATTTGTCATTTTTCAAATATCGGCATCGGCCGATAAGTTTTTCTGTTGGGACGATGTGTTCGAGGCGCCTGAGCGCACAACGCTCACATTCTCCCTCTTGTTCGCTGTCGTCGTTCAGTTCTGTCTAATATGGATAAGTCTATCTGATAATTAGGGATGCTCCGATCCGCCTTTTTCGCTTCCGATACCTAGGGTTCAGTATTGGCCGAT